GTGTTAAAAGTTATTATTTTAAAAGCAATAGTTCTGACAAATTTCATTGCATAACTCGGAAGAAGTCGTATGTTGTGTGTGTAGTTCAATTGTAATTTGACGTCACATAATTCGAACTTTCTATATTTTTCTCATTGCCTTAAATGAGTATTGTTACATCATAGCATCTCGTAGATTGTAGTAAGTTCTAGGTCTCAGTTGAGTAATGTATATATATATAGGCAACCAAATGAGTGCAAGTTAGGTTAGAAAACGTTAAGTTAGTGATAATGAAGTTAGTTTTGTTGTAACAGGCAATATTAAAAATGAGTTTCACAATAGTATTGTAATAATAGAAATGAAGGAGAATAATTTGTCTTGTCAAGGGGTGTTATAAAGTAATTGGACTTGCCTGTGTGGAATTTGACGAAAGGTTGTTTGGTTGTTTTGAATTTTGTGCAAAGCTACACGAGGGCTATCTGCACTAGCCATCCCTAGAGGGAAGGCAGTTAGTCATCACCACCCACCACCAACTCTTGGGCTACTATTTTACCAACGAATAGTGGGATTGACCATCACATTATAATAGCCCCACAGCTGAAAGGGCGAACATGTTTGGTGTGATGGGTATTGAACCCGTGACCCTCAGATTGCGAGTTGAGCGCCCTAACCACCTGGCTATGCCAGACCTTGACAAAAGGAGACAATTACTTGAAGTTTTGGATACAACTGTGGTAACCCACTGGATAATGTAAATGAATCTATTACAGGTTGTGAAGTAAGAAACAGAGTACAGAAAAATAATTTGTCTTTTCAATTGTGTTCTAAAGAAACTGAACTAGTCTGCGTGGGCTTTTGACAAGAAAGAGAATTACTTAAAGCTTTAGATACAACTTTGATAACCAATAGTGAAACGAATTTTGGTACTTACCTTTAACTTGTTTAGAGTATATTATTTTAAAACAAGTGGATTGTGTGCTGTCCATTTATTGTTGACATTTATCGCCAACAAGTCACAGACATCTACTGTAAAAGAATCTCAGCCCATGTTCAAAACCTGACAATTCTAATGATTTGGTTTTGGAATTTTGCACAAAGCTACTCGAAGGCTATCTGCATTAGCTGTTCTTAATTTAGAAGTGGTAGACTAGAAGGAGGGTATCCAGTCAACACCACCCACCGCCAACTCTTGAGCTACTCTTTTACAAAGAAAAGTGGAATTTACCATAACATTATAATGCATCCACAGCTGAAAGGGTGAGCATGTTTGGTAATGGAATTCAAATCCATAACCTGCAGGTTGCAAGTCAAGCACCCTAGTCACAAGGCCCTGCACTCTAATACATGTAAATATTTGCTTATAGTTTAATTGCTCAATTTGATAATAACCTTTATCTATTTATCTCAAAGATGTTAATATGTATTTTAATAGCTAACAGAACTTTTTCATTTATCATAATTTCAGATATTTAAAATATTTTCCAGCAAAGCAAAACACATATTTAGCATCAAATGTAACTAAAATTGCAAAATATTTTTTGACTTTGACTTTTTTGAAAAGCTATCACATTATTCAAGTAATTTCCCATGTTGAAATGCCCACTGGTCATAGTTAAGCATGACAAGCAATATGACATGTAACAAAAACACTGAGATTTTCAAAACATTCACTAACACTAAAAAGAGCAAGGAAACAATAATAATATTCTAAAAAACTGAACTTCTTGAAGCAAATTACAAAACACATTGAGTGGTTGGTTAACATTTTCTTTATGTTTTGTTATTAGTTTTGTAGAAGGTAACAGATCTTCCAGTTCAACTAATATCACATTTAATTAAAGAAAAGAAATGAAAGTCAAGGTTACTAAATTAGATTTAATGTTCAAAACATTTAAGAAGCTTAATTAGTTTTCAATCTAAGTGAATTAACTCTTTCAGCACGGGCTTGATCCCTGGGACCGACCTCATAAATATTTTGTGATTTTTATATTTTTCATGCTATAACTTTTAAATTAGTAAGCATACATTCACGAAATTTGGCAGATTATCAGTAAACATTACAAGGCTTTCATATGCAAAATATCAGATTTTTTTTTTATAAAGTCTAAAAGTTTCTTAAGCAATGTTTTTCTCATGCCTTTCTTCTTTTCGCATGTTGCCTATCCAACATACAAAGTAATTTTAATTTTGAGATTAAAAATACTTTTATGCATCAGAAAATTTTCAAATTTCACATGCAAAATTTTTATAGCATCCAGATAGAGATAGTTATCACATGCTCCTTAAGAAAAAAACTTACATCTGTTATTTTCACTAATGAATCTCGTAACAACCACAAAAAATTAGGAAATAAATATAAATTATGACTTTTTCATTCTAGAATTCCTACAAATTATAACGCAAAAACACAAATGTTCAGACTAAATAGCTAAAATCTCATAACATTATACATTTATATATCTTTATTATATTGACCTTTCAGCCATGCCTGGCTAACAACACAGAAGTTACAATGACGTGGCACACATGCACTCATGTTACCGTATCCAATAATATAAAACTGACCTTTAGTCTTAACAAAATGACCTGTCTTAGCTGTATTTTAGTGAACTAGTGTTTTCTAAAATACAGTCACATTTCAATTATTATACATATGTATAAAACTTATTACTATTTACAAAGAACTTCTTAAACATATTTTTCTTAAAATATTTGTTTTTAGGTTTCATATATATGTTTCAAATAAACAAAAAATCATAAATTACTATACCTATACCATAGAATTCCACTATAATTTATCAAGCTTAGTAATTAAGCTGTATTTGGATCTAAAAAAATATGAAATTTTGAGCAGACTAAAGACTCACCTTACCAACAGGAAGATTTGTATCAAAAGAATGAGATAATGTTATAATACTTGAAAATGGCTGAGAAAGCCACTAGGGGGATGCTCTGAGCTTTCAACTGGTTATTCACATGTCATAAACAGAATTAAATGTATATACGGGAGCATTTCCAAAAATGGAAAGAAGTGAGCAGGACCACTGTATTTGATTCAGTACATGAGCAAATAAAAAAGATAGGAGGTTCTTATTTTATATTCTAGCTTATTAATATCAGTAATTTGAGTTCCTAATTCATATGAAACTATAGACTTTGTACCTTGACATCAAAAACATCTAATTTGAACCAGTGTTGCATTCAACATACCATGTGACACACAAAAATTGATGTTTATCTGTGTGTTTTTAACATCTATTTTTAAATTAAGAGATCAAATAATGTTTAATACCAAAATTTGAATTATAATCTACAGTTTGATACCAAACTTATTGACATAAATTCATAAAATAGTAGTTCAATAAAATTTTGAATGCACGTCAACAAATGTGATGACATGGCCTTTGACCCGTAACCTGTGTCGAAAGGGTTAAGTGTTTATTCTTGTGTGGAAAAGGCAGTAAACATCTTGTACAATGTTTGAGTAATATGATTTTTCTATAAGCCACAGAAGAAAGCAAAGCTTCATTAAGTGTGAGTGGTCAAATTGTCTTACTGAATCTAATATTTCTGTATCATAGTTTCATTTGAGGTTTTTTTAAAGGTTTTAACAGCTATGATAGCATCTCATATGTAAACTGAGTGTTTTTTGTATATCCTTTTTTTATATTATGAAAGATCTAAAAACTAAATAAGACTGGTAAATCACTAGTACATAATACAAAAATTATACTAACATTGTTTAGTTTGATATTTCAGATATTTGGCCTGGATAATAATACCTAACTGGCCTGGATATGATTTGGAAATTCAAGACTCAAATGTCATTTATGAAATATTACTTTTCTCGGTTAATGTTCTTCTCTGCTGTAGTGATTTTCAAATATCTCAGTTTTGGTGAATAATTCATTGTTTCATCAAAATATATTTCACTAACCTACATCTTCACTAGCAAAAATAATCAACCTTCGAGCAATAAATCGAGGATCTTCCCCTCCTTCTAGCAATCGAGCTAGCCAATAGAGAGAGGCATTTTCATCAGAACCTCGCATTGACTTAATGTATGCTGATATTGTGTCATAATGCTGATCACCTGCAAATAGTAAAAATAAAAAATCTAAGAAACAGCGAAATGATCTACAGAAGCAATTTCCTGTGAAACACTAAATGGACTCATTAGTGTAACTGATATTCAGTAGTTTCATCTACTAACAAAATAAAGATATCAAATAATCAGTTTGAATCAGTGGTTCATTTCTGTCAGTTTTAAATTTTTCTTTTTTAATCTAAAGAGTGGAATACCATAATTAATTTCTAACCTGCCTTGGTTGCACTGGGAAGTTATTTGACTAACACAGTTAATTGCATTACACCACTCCAACATCATCCCAAATAACAGCCTCAATAACACTTATTTTCCAAAACTCAAAATCCACCAATCCCACCCCACCCAACAACATGGATCCGGTGCCTTTATTTTTCTTCTAGAAATCAAGCACTGGTCTGAGCTATAAATTAATTTTAATTCCAAATGGCAAAACTTTAAAAATTGTTGTTATTTTCTCTATGAGCATTAGTTAACCATTAATTTGGAATCTCACATCAACATCACGAAACCTGGCACTAATTTTTGAAAAAAGGATAGCTGAAAATTAGTTTTTATCTCCATTATATATACTTTTCTGTATTAATTATTCTGGATAGGGTATTATCCGCTATATTTTGGTCTTAAGATGAAACAAAAGATTTTGTGACTAAAATACCAATTATATAAAATATTTTATTTCAAAAAAAAAAAGATATTACAACAGCTCATTTACAAGGTAATGAGTTATGGGCAGGCTACAGCCTGATGATTCCAACAACATTATCAGAAAATACTTGAAGACACTGTCACATATGGTCCTCACAGCAAGGTCATATTATAGTTCCAAGAACCAAGTTCACACAAAGAACAAACTCAGTTGTTTTAATCTTTCTAAATTTTTTGTCTGATTGGTCTAAATCCTTTATAAAATGCTATGTTTGCCTAAAATGGATAATGACAAACACATTATTAAGTTCCTTTCACACATATTATTTTAGGTATTTGTGCTAAATACTTTTAAACTAGGTAAAAATGTTCATAAGTGTTTGTTAAAATTGTTAGTCATTGCCATCAATATGTTTGAAGTGTAATTCTTACTGTATCAGATTTGGTGATTAGTTATTTTGTATTTTATGAACCACTTTGACATTTCTTTCATGATGTGGAGTTCCATTTGTGCCCTAAAAATCAAAATAACCTATATTTTCAACCCTGTATGTGGAAAACCCATTGCATTATTCCATATGGAGTATGTCACAAAATATACAACAGTTTTTCCAATTTCTTTTATTACAGCTTACCAAATAAATATGTAGCTCGTATCTCAAAATCAATTTCTTTAGGTGACTCTGTATAATATCTAAGGCTTTTTTACAGTTTGTTTACATGTACTATACAGAAACAAAGCTACTTATCAACAATTTTCTATATTTCCCTCTTCAAAATGGTTACTATCTCCTGTTTACTCCCACATTTATTCCTACTCATTGGAAGGTGTTCTAGCTTTTTATTGATAAAAAAGGTTTAAAATATCATATTTAAATTCTAGAATGTTACAACTAAAAATGACTTTTGAACAGATCATTACTTCGCATGTGGGTAGGCCCTAAATTCTTCCAAACATATGATTTATAACATTTGGAAAGAAAGTCAAACTCTTGTTCTCTATCCATCTAAAACTACTTGAAGTGCTGAAAATGTAATTTATGAAGAAATTATTTTCCTTGCTTGAAATCCTTTTATTTACAAAACATTTTCTTAAAACAAAATGAACCTTGGAAAACACAGAATACTGTGATTATTTCCAAACATGACATAGAAAGTTCAAACTGTTATAAGCAGATGAAGGTGATGAAAAATTTAACCATTACACCTAAAATCACTGTGAGAGATTCATACAAATGATAAAAAGAAAACAGAAATATAAACATAGAAAAATTTTTTCTCTACAAAAATCTACTTTTCAAATTAATTGTTAAATGAGACTTTACCTTTACGATCATAAAGTAAATGTGATCTTTGTAAGCCTTCTTTTATATGCTCAACTTTAATCACATGGGGACAATCATAATTATTTGTTTCAACACAATTGGAAGAAGCAGATTCTACAGTCATTTGAAGGCTGTTTAATGCTGTACGTGCATCACCATCACATACAGCTGCCAACATTTCCAGAGCTTTATTTTCTATACACATTGTAGATCTGTAAAAACAAATGACAGAAAATAAATAGTTACATTTGAATAATACTTTTTTAACCAATTAAACAATAAAAACACTCACCCATAGGAAAATAAAGTAACAACCAAAAAAAACAAGACCTATGAAAAAAAGAGAATTGCAGTGTAGATTTTAGATGAGCTTACCAGCCTGAAATATGAACTGAATAGGTTTGTGCAACTTCATTAATTTTTTTATTGACATAGTGATACAAGTATTAAATTATGAAAGTTCTACTTGGTGTAATACACATTCCATCAAAAATGGCAATACAAATTATTGAAAGCTGACAGGAATAGCCGATTCCTGCTAAGTTTGTCTTAATAAACAAACTGAAATCTGGGGTTTACAGCATAAAGTAAGACACATATAGTTTAAGTGATTAAAACACATGCCCAGTAATGGAGGGTTTGAGTCTGCTCAGTTGCAAGTTTTCACTTATTCAGAAAAACTTAGAATCACATGGATGATGTGTCACTACAAACTTTGTCTCACAATGTGATTCCGATACATCTCCCCAAATAACTGGATAACATGATGTTAAAATATTGGCATAGCTTAATGAACCAATTATATGAAGGTAGAGACTTATAGTACTTTATATCCAATGGATTAGTTAGTTAAAACAGCAGCATGACAAGCTGAAAAACATGTTCAAATCTAAAGCTGTAATTGTTTTCACTATCTTTGAAAATTCTAGGAGAAAATGTTTATTTGGTTATTGGCCACATGAAGCAAATTACTGTTATTCAAGCACTGGAATATTATTATCACTACATTGCCAGCAAATTGTTTTATGTTCAAACTACAAAAATTCAAAAAATTTTTGGTTTTCATACATCATTTTTACACTCTAAGTTTCCCTAAGGACAAATTAAATGTGTTCAAGTGTATTACTTGATTTCTGTCAAACATCAAATATTTTAGTTCAGTTCCTAGATGTAAGAATTTTTACCAAATCAATGATTAAATATAGTTAATAACATCATATTTAGGGGGACAGATTTTATTTTTTAAAATGTTGGTTTTCACCTTGTCACAGTAAAAAGATGACAAATCTCATATATTCTTTTAACGTTTGTGTATTATTGTATGTTCTGTATAATTAGATTATTTAAAAGACAATCTTTCAGAGATCTGATTAGTGGCAGTGTGGTTATACTAAGATTTCAACGAAAAGGCTGCTTTTGTAGGATTACCTCAGGAATGACATTTTTGCATGCTTACATTTGCTCTCATCTGATGAGAGTAAACACCAAAGACTGAATTCATCTAGAGCTAATCCAATGAAAAGTTATTATATACAAACTATGCTTTATCAAACTGAGTATGGAAATAGAGCATTAAGAACAAAACTGAAACTAAGATCATATTTGTATGAGCTCACCACTGTAAGATATTGTATTCTAGTATTTACATTATTTTTAACCTATAAAAACTATCAAAAATAACATTGATGCATCCCTGTGTACTAAAGCAAACTGCAAAAGCCCATGAAGTGCTAAACAATCAACTTTTTCAAATCCTTTCACCCTCCAGCATCTGACATATATGATGAGGTCAGTGACTGAAAAAGAATATATATATAATTGCAAGGAAGCATCTTAAGACATTTTCCATAATACCTCAAGTGCATTTGCCTTTTCCTTGTCCTATTAAAACTGTCAGTATCAATAGTGTGGTATACCAAATTAATTGCCGTGTGTTCATGGGCTAACTGCAAAACTAAGTATTTAAGTTACTGAAGAGAATTATTAAACTAAAACTTGATATCTTAAACTTATTCTTGTCTTCGTCAACAGGATAAAAAGAAATTCCCACTACATTCAAGGGTTGTTAAATCACTTTACTTTAAAACAATCGGATGATTTTATTAACCTAAATGGAATCATGTGTAGAACAAAGATTTAGACATTTTTTGTTATATAATATAATATAATAAAACAGTTTGAGGAGAAAAAAGATTATGCTGTACTACAAATAGATCTTAAACAATTCAAAAACCTTTACTACGGTTTGTCTACAAGCAGAAAAATGTTAGTGTTCATATTTATTTGTAATATCTTTACACATACCTCAAATCAATAATAAATGAACCAATAATGCAGTGTTGCAGAAATGAGTTTTACCAATTCATTATTTAGTGCAATAACAAGTTTGTTTCATAATTTTATCATGCTGTTAAAATTTCCATGTCAAAACTTTTTCATCAATTCAAATAAATTCTATATAATACAAAACAAGCCCATTTAACTTTTTAATTGTTACTAAAACACCTATTTAAGAATTTAATATGGTGAGAAGTGTATGAAAATTTACAAACCCTGAAGAGCTACTAAAGTTGGTGGCATTTTCTTTCTCTTTGTCCAAAACTTCTATGTTAAGATGTTTCAATGCTCTAGCTAAAATATGCATTATATTACCTTCAGAAAGTTTCTGAAAGACAACAACTCTACATCTAGATAACAGAGTCGAGTTCAGAACAAATGAAGGGTTTTCAGTTGTTGCTCCTATAAGGATGATCGTTCCATTTTCCACATGAGGAAGTAAAGAATCCTGCAATTATTAAAACAAAGATCAAAGCCACCTGTTTCTTAAACAAAACTACAAATATTAAAACTTTCTTTTTATTTATAAATCTTGTCAGTGGTTCATGAGATTGAAATGTGTGCTCATGACTCTTGTGTAAGTACTACAGATACTGTGAAGAGATTACAAAAACATACATCAGAATACAGTATGTAAAACAGAAATACATGTACACATTGTTTTAAGATCATCCAAAAATGTACATCAAGGGAATACTACCATTCTTCTCATGAAAGAGACACAAGTTGAATGCTAAAATAGAAAACTAGCCTATACTTCACTATACAGATAGAAAACCATTTCCAGAAATGTTATAATTACATCTTTTAGTTGAAATCTTTCAACAATCAATCAGGTACCATGTCTTATCTAACTCCAATGATTACACAGTCTTGCAATGGTTTTATTGTCTTGCAATTTTTACATGTTCTACAGTAATTCCTATACTCTGAATCCGAAAATGATATCCATTTTTCTCCATCACATACAGATTTTTCACAAAATGTCATATGTACTTTTACATAAGTGAATCATTTTAATTGAAATTGGGTCACATTTTGTTATGCTTAAAATGTTGACAACCACCGGCTATAGATTTCTCTAGACCAATTGCGATGAGAGAGTTTTATTGATCATTCTAGAACCCATGAGAAACACACCACTAGTATATAAACAGTTAACAGGCTGCATGACATGTCATTTCTGGATAGTATTTGTTTGTGCATGCACTTTGACATTATTTTCTTCTTTTCAATAATATTTATTCATCGCTATGGCAACAAGAGGATGTGTAAATTACCCAAACATATTCTGTTATATTTGTGGTAAATTTTTGTTGGTTCTCAGATTAGGAAATTGACTTTGGATGAACAGTTCAAAGGGACAATGAGGAAAGTTGAAAAAGAAGCATGGATTGCCTTTAAAGATGTTATTGACAAATTTTTAGAAAACAAAAAGAATCCAAATTACAAAAATATTGTCAATAAGATGCTCGATAAATTCAAAGAGTTGGGTTGTAATGTAAGCTTGAAAGTTCATTTTTTACACTCACATATTGACTATTTCCCTGAAAATCTCAGGGGCTATCAGCAAAGAGCAAAAGGGAAAAGTTTCATCAAAACATCAGGGAAATGGAGAGGAGGTATCAGGGTTGGTGGGAAATCAGCATGATGGCTGATTACTGCTGGTCATTGAAATGAGATGTTCCAGATGCAATACATAAAAAAAAGACCACAATACGTAATTTTGAGACTATAAGATGCAGAATTCACAAAAAAAATCAAAATGAATGAGGATGCATATTCATTTGATTTTAATGTTCTTCCTGTTTTCTTCAGTTTGTTTGTATTTTTGTTCATTGTGGGAAATGAAATAATAATTTGATCTAAGTAAGTTTTTTTTCTTCCCAATTTGTAAGAAATCTTTATGTGATAGAAAAAAATGAATATTATTTTTGAAATCTGCATAGCTGTATTATGGAAAATCCGTTATTAAAACCAAAAAAATTTATGAAGTTTAAATTCCCAGGCCTATGTTATGTAATACTAAATCTTATTCAGATTTTGTAAACACTTTAATTATGAAATATTATTATTATGGAGACAATTCTTATAATAAAATTTAATAAGCTAATAGTTTCTGAATATTTCTCATAGTTACTTCTGATTTTGCTGAATGATTAACTTCAGCTTGAAGTTATTATTTCACTTCTTGTATAAGAACTTGCACTAAAAATAATTATAAGCAAAATGACAAAATGTGATAACAAGTAAAAAAAAAATACATATGTAACTTTTGCTAGGCAACTAGTCATGTAATCCTAGACTGAGAAATGTTTAAATTTTCAAAATGAAATAACAGCAAGAATAATACAATTTCAAAAATGTAATATACTTTAATTTCTTTTAAACTTCAAAACTACATATACATGTGCTGAGTGTAATAAAAAAAGGTGATCTTATAGACTTGAAATAACCTTCAATATTCAAATATGCATGGGAAGTTAGAAAAAAAAAGAAAAGAAACATTTCAGATGTTTATGGAAGTAATATAACAATTTACAAAATCAAAGAAACACAGATATAAGATGTAAAAGTACATTTATGCAATCAGTCTAGGCTACTGAAACTTGTTAACTAAAATACTTTTAATCATTGAAACACAGACATACAGTATCAACTTACATGTACACCATCATACTGGTCAGTTGAAAATGGAATGGTTAACTAAACACTTTGAAGCATCAAAGCACAGAAACAAGGTGTAAAAGTACATGGACTTGGTAGCTGGCATGAGTAAAGTAATGTAGATCAAAAAATTCTTGAGTGACTGTTGTTTTGTATAAAAAGAAAGAACTCAAATAAAAGGCAATAGAGTACAAATTAAAATATCTAAATAAATAAAAGCTATGTTTAGTTTTATTTTGTGAAGCATTTTGGACAGATACTCTTTGTGAAGCAATAAATACCATGTTATATAGAAACTAGGCTAAGAAAGAATCATTGAAGGATTAGAAGGGGGAGGGAGATGAATGTCCATTAAGCTTCAAGCCTGTTATATACAGAAAGTATGTTGATGACACTGATTTTCTGTCTTATTGATAATATCTAATGCTTTCTTGACTATCTCAATTCACAACACCCCTCTATACACTTCACCCATGAAATTGAGACTAATAACTCTATTCCCTTTCTGGACTTTCTTGTTAACCTTTATGCTAATGGCTTTTCAATTTCTGTCTATCATAAAAACACATTTACTCGTCTTTTCACTCAGTTTGACAGTTTTATACCCTTCTCTTTCAAATGCAACTTTATTCTCTGTCTATTATATAGTGCCTACAAACTTACCTTATCCTATTTGGCCCTTCACAAAGAAATTACTTCCATACAAAAGATTCTCGTTCGAAATGGCTACCCTATGCATTTCTTGGAGAAAATAACTTCCTCATTCCTAACGAATTTGTTTGTCAAACCACCTAAAATACCCACTGTACCAAAACTTCCCTTAAACACATGCTTACCATATCTCAGGATACAGAGCTCCCTTATGACGAGACAGTTGAAAAAGCTATGTAACACTTACTGTCCCCAAATTGACCTGAAAGTCATTATGAAACCCGACCTTAGACTAAAAAATGTTTTCACCTATAAAGATCATTTGCCAACTGTCCATTGTTCACATCTCGTCTGCTTATGCATGTGCGAAGAATGTAAGCCTCCTATATTGGTGAAACCAAACATCACCTTAAAGTACGAGCATGTGAACTCAAGGGCATATCTATAAAAAAGTGAAAGAAAGGTTACAAACCCTCCCAACTCAGTTATCTATCAACACAATACAGAAACAGGACATTCAATTTCTCTTTAAAATTCTTTCAACAGCCA